AACTTTTTTCATCAAGGGCCACATCTCTAAACACAGACGAAGGAGAGGGCTGATCGAGGGCCATAGACTGATACTCATTCGAGTGAATAATTCAAATATGTGCGGGTTTAACACATTAGAATGAGCCATCAGTCTTTATTCATGCTTAGATCCTTAAAATCACACACTAAATGTTAAATATGAGCTTTACCAAAGTAGATTTTCCAAAAAACTTGCAATAAAAAAAAAATCTTTAATTGATGGGCCAATTCACCTGGAAGCCTCAGGGCCAAAAAAAATGTGTCTGAAGGCCGCATTTGGCCCACGGGCCATAGTTTGGACATGCCTGCTTTAAAACATGACATTAAACTTTTATCTAAGCAGGTGATGGCCAAAGTACAGGTCAAATCTATGGACAGGTAAGAAGTTGAAGGGCTACTGTGGAACGTTCAACCAGAAAAGTTACACAGTGCAACTTTAAAACTTAAAAAAAGTTCAAACATTGTTCCTACAGGCTTATCCCTGGCTCAGCCCACGTCTGTATCCAAAACATCCAAAAGCATGTAGCTCAAAGTCCATCTCTGTGCTACAGCGAACGTTAAATCAGCGATCGCTTAAACTCAGCGCACAGCGTGAGAGACATGCATTCAGAGGAAAGCTTCGTCTGCAGCCTTCATCTGCCTCTCCACTCGAATTAAATCAATGTGAACCCAACAAAAGCCTCCACAGCAGTCTGCTAGTATCAGGACGAGCAGGGCCATGAGCAGCCAACAAGAAAAAGATAGAACAACAACATGGAACGCACTTCTGATAGACGAAAGATGGAGAGTTGTATTACTGCATGTTTTTAAATAACATCAAAATAAATGTGTAAATGAAATATATTAAATATGTTAATGTTTATGAAATGTGCTCAAAATGTACTTAAAGATGCACTATGTAGCTTTTTGGTTTGGGGTCTGTCACCTGCTTGTTTCTATGGATACTGAATGTCATTGCTTTGCCTGGAATGTTCCACAGTATGACATTAAACAGCCACATCTTACTTGTATTAACT